ATACCAGCCCATTGGGGCGTGGTCTCTCTCCCTTTAAAAAAGCGGCTATTTCCTCTGCTCGCTCTCTTCTCTTCCTGCTCCGCCGGAGACTAGACTCCCTTCCTGGTTGTGCAGATGGCTGTTGTCTGGAACGGTGATCTGTAAGTTTTCCCCTTTAAATAAATAACACCCTATTACTCATAACTCCAAACTGGTGTGGCCTTGTTCGTGACTTACGCCTTCAATGTATAACGTGCTGAGTCCTGCCTGTGAGTTTAGGCTTTTTTGCACTAAGCTGTGCTGAGTATCTATTGTGCTAGTGTTTTGTGTTTCCCCCTTTGCATTCTAAGCTCACCAATGCAGCTAGCATTGCTCTCAGGTTTTATAACAACCCTCAGTGACTTCCTAGTGCTAATCATGTAGTCAGCAGTTGCAAGGTGGAAAGAATAGGGTAAGAAGCTTAAAACAACTTCACCTGCACAGACTTTCAAGCCAGGTGGCATAAGCCTTAAGCATAGGCAGGAGTCTGGTATACACATCTGTTGACCTGGTTCCTCTGGAAGAGTGTTCCCTAAGGGACAGTTTGTCCAGTAGAGGATGCAGCATCCATAGCTGCTACCGTAGATTCTAAATTGTGTTGGATCTCAGGGAGTTTTATCTCTCAGGCCTATGCCTCCTGCACTAGGAGAAATGAGGGGCACAGGACTGGGAGGGAAATGTTCTGTGTCTCCCAGGACACAGGGATATCTACAGGGAATTTGGTGATCCCTACCTGGGCTAATCTTCCTAGAGGCATCCCTTAGCCATTCACCCTTTTGCCTGCCACACCCTTTTGTGGTACAGGGAAATCTTTATGGCATTTATTCCAGCTTCACTTAGGAGGTGAGGCACCTATACTTCTGTTCTGGTCCTGAAATGTCTATAGTTTCTCCTCCCTCCTGTGGTTGTTTGAATGAATTTGACCCCCCCTCCCCCATAAGCTCATTGGGAGTGGCACTATTAGGTGGTGTGGCCTTGTTGGAGGAGGCTGGATGACCCAGGCCTTTAATTCAGACCTTGAGGCTGGAGAGCACACCTTTAATCTGGGCCGCACCTTCTGTTGGAAGTGTGTCACTGTGGGGGTGGACTTTGAGGTCTTTTCTTCATCTTCACTTAGGGTGACAATCAATGAACGTCCTGTTGCCTCTGAGTCAAGATGTAGGGCTCTCAGCTCCAGCACCAGGTCTGCCTGCATGCTGTCATGCTTCCTGCCATGATGGACTGAACCTCTGAAGTGTAAGGAAGCTCCTTCAATTAAATGTTTTCTTTATAAGAGTTGCTATGGTCATGTTGTCTCCTCATAGAAAAGGAAACCAAAATAAACCACCTCCCTTATGCCCACTGGGTTTAACGTGAAGTGGAGAACACATATTTGCTTCATTTCTGGTGCTTACAGTATTGTCCTTTCCAATGCTCTTGTAACCATTTCCTTTCCTTTTTCGGGAATTCTTACCTTATTGTGAAAAGAGAGGAAATGAACCTCACCACCTTCACAAACATAAACACTTTCTTTACCACATTATTTTAATAGACATCTGTATATTTTATGGAAATCCAAAATAGTCACAGCCGTGCACCACATGACAAAGTTTTGGTTAATGATGGGCCACGTATCCAGCTGTTGACCTATAGGATCGATCCTGCTATCTCATCTTGGAGAGCAAACTCTGTCATTGTAGGAGCTGCTTCTCCTGCTGTTGTGACAAATACCTGACAATAGGGAGGAAGAAAGAAGGGGAAGGAGAAAGGGGAAGGGAGAAAAAAAGGAGAGTGGGAGGGAGGGTTTACTTTGGTTCACAGTTCAGGGGGACACAGTCCATCTTCGCAGGAAGGCAGCAGTGTCCTGTGGACTGGGCCAAAGGAGAAAGTAAGTCAGCCTTCATCTCTCTTCCTCTTCCTTCTATGAATTACTATGTAGCTAGGTGGATGCCACTTTTGTCTCCTCCTTCTCTGGCTACTTCTTCTTTTCCTCACAGATTTTGTCTTCTATTTATACTCTCTGCCAACCTCACCTATCCTTTTTTCTGCCTTGCTATTGGCCATTCAGCTCTTTTTTAGACCATCAGGTGTTTTAGACAGACAAAGAGTCTCAGCTTTACAGAGTTAAACAAGTGCAGCAAGAGAGTGAGATGGAGGAAGGGAGGGAGGGTTTACTTTGGTTCACAGTTCGGGGAGGCAGAGAGAACATGAGGTGGTCGTCACATTGCATTCACTGTTAGGAAGCAGAGAGAGAAGAAGGCTGGTTTACTTTCTCCTTTGTCCCAGCCCACAGGATGCTGCTGCCTATATTCAGGATGGCTCTTGCCACCTCACCTGAATGTATCTGGAAATTCCCTCACAGACACACCAAGAGGTGTCTCTCCTGGAGGATTCAAAAAAAAATTTGGGAACAATTTTGATTTTTGAAAACATTTAAAATTTTTTCTCACTTTGAAATTCAAAGTTCTTTTAATTAAAAGGTTATGCTAAAGTGAGTATAGTATATATACACACACACACACCACACATTTAGACAGGGTATGCCTTGTGTAGACAATATTGGCCTTATACTTGTGAGGACTCTTCTGCTCTTCTCTGCTACCTCTGGGGTGCTGGAATTACTGGTGTGTGTCCTATGTCTTGACATTTCCTTAAAGTAAAAGTATACAACAAGGCAGATTTCACACCCTGACTGGAGATAGGTGCTAGTGGTCAGGGCTTGGAACAAAAGAGAGAGAGAGAGAGAGAGAGAGAGAGAGAGAGAGAGAGAGAGAGAGAGAGGGATCGTTCAACCTACGTTAAGATACTCAAACATTCCAAGGCTGTATTTGGTTGTTCCTGTCACTGGGCATGGGATTATATGGCCATGGCTCTAGTAAACTCCAAGATGAAAGACATGGAAAAACAACTGACTTATAAAAAATGATTTATTGGCTTTGTGCAGCTACTGAATCAGGGTCACTGAGATTCTATACTATATGTTATGTGAGAGATGGCAAAAATTAAAACTCAGGTCAGGGGCGGATTCCAAGAGTATGTGAGCTGTGAGGGGGGACCTCTTGTCCAAGAGAAAAGCAAGATGGAGGACAGTTGGGGGAGACAAAGTACAAGATAAATCGGGCCAGGAAATGCCCTGTTCCAGGTCATCTAGCACATCACTTCTGTCCTGGAGAGAACCACACACCTGCAACAAAACAGACAGGAGAGGGATGTGTTCCTGAGACTCCTGAGATGTGATCACGTCATTCCAAACTTCTCCAGCAATGTTCCAATGACTTTTTCACCCATCTCCCCTTCCCTTGCTCCCGCTGTGTGGTGGCTTCAGCTCCCACAAACACAAACCCTCACCTTCCTCTCCAGGGTGTGGCTCATAAGGGCCCTGGGTGTCTGGAGGTGCCACCTGATCGCAGGCCTCGAATGATGAAGATGGTGCCCACCACGATGCCCACGATGCCCACGGACAACCCCAGGGCACAGACTACAGTCTCTGTCAGCTCTGACATGGGGGCTGGAACCTCGGGTTCTGGGAAAGTGAAGTTTCTGGAGTCAGAAGGGAGCACATTCATGTATGTGTATGTAAGAGGGCCCGTGTGAGGGTGGAAGTCAGTCCACACAGACTTTGGGCCTGGGCTTGTGGAAGAACATGAAGTCTACCATAGAAACTCTGTAAGAGTGGAAAATGAGTTAGGTCACAAGAACCAGAAGACAGGGTGTTCTAGAACTAACAAAGAACAAGAACATGCAGAGGCAGGGAGAACTCACACGTACCCCAGTGTGTCTGCACCGGTGCAGAAGCAGGGAGAACCCGCACGTACCCCAGTGTTGCAGTGTCGGCTCCTCCAGGCCCCAGTGCTCCACCTTGCAGTCATAGACATCATCGTCAGAAGGAATGAAGGTGAGGTAGGACATCTTGTGGAAGGAATGGTCACTCTTGGAGAGGAAATTGGTTTCATAGAAGCCTTCGGTGACCGACTTGCTGTTTCTCAACCACGTGATGTTGACCACAGGAGGGAAGATGTTGTCCACGAAGCAGACAAGGGTGTTGGGCTGACCCAGAAGCACATGGGCTTTGGGGAACACAGTCACCTCAGGAACCTCTGGAAAGGAAATGGCCTGGATGTGAGTGGCTGATGGGAGTTTCTCTTCCTGACGTTCTGCACTATCTGGTGACAGCCCCCTTGCCAAGACTTGCCCACATGATGGACAAGGAGCCCAAACTTCCCTTCTGCACTTTATCCCTGTGTTCTTCTCTATAGTCTGTTAGGATGTCTGTTGGGGCCTCTACGAAAGATTCAAGGAGTGCATTGTGGGAATAAAGAGCTTTATATTACAGGGAATATGTGATTTTTAAGAAGAGAGGATGAGGGTTCAGGGATGAGATCTGGGTGTGCCTTGGAAAGGAGGGGGTTTTACAGAACAATGGATCACATTCCCCACCAGGGAAGGAAGTGAGGAACAGGGTGATGAGCACGTACTGTTGGTAACTGGGGTAGAATTCGACATCTTAGTCAGGACGTCCAAGTTATGTTTTGCTGCAGCTATACTTTGCAGTCCGCCTTGTGGGTCAAAGCTTGTCAGTTTGCCAAACTCAGGAACCCACCAGACTGTTTCCTTCTTATCCAAGTCCACATAGAACAACTCATCACCATCAAATTCACATGTGAACTGGCCACTGGGTCCGTAAGACTGATAGACAACTGTACCAAAGGTGCCAACATGGTCAGCTGGTAAATTTAGGTGGATAGCAGAAAAATGGAAAACAGAAAGGAAAAGAGATTTTATTAAACAAAATGATAGAAAATCCCACAAACTTCATTTTTTGGGTACATTTCCATTACCTCCCCCCCCCAACACTCCTCATTGATTACAGTCCAGTCTTTCCTCTGTGACATGTGCCTACACGATGGTAGAATGTCCTGTATTTGATTTCTGATATCTTTAGTGCCTCGATTAGTATCTGGTACACTGACAGGTTACGACAAGTAGCTCACAACTGAATGGAAGATCTTTCATCAGTTAATTTTTTTGTATTTTTCTTCAAAAAATAAAAAGAAGACATTTCCCACACAAGGAACTTTTCTCATTTTTTTAACAAAAGGATAAACATATAGAATCCTTTAGAAAGGGAACAATGACAATATTACAAAATATAAAGAAATTATTATGTCTAAAGTTTCTGCATTGTTGCACATGGAGATACACAGGACAGTTTTCTGATTTCTTCTGAAATAAAAGAAATAAAAACCTTAGTTGAATTGTCTGCTTCTGTCAATCCTTACCTCTTAGATTTTTCCAAATCAACACTGACATTCACTTTCAGATTCATGGCAAATTAAAGCTTTTTCCTCCAACAGTGAGCATGTGTGAGATGCCACAGTAAATGGCTGCCAAGCAGGCATTTCCACCCAAATAACACCAAGTAAACATTATTGTCAAGTCATAGATTTTAGTATTTCCTCTTTTCTTCCTTCTTCATTTATTGGGTTTCAACAAACATCAAACATGGTGCTGTGTAAGGAGTAACTGGTCAACCAGGCCTGGTTTCTGCAGTCACCACACTTGGTGAATGCTAGGAGAGGTGGGTCGGTAGACAGATGGAGTACATGTACTGTGCTGTGAATGCTGTGGCCAGGTTCCAGTCTGGTGTTCTGCACAAGCAACTCCTATTCAAAACTAACTACTGGTGTGGGAGGTCCTTCTGCCTATGTGTTGCTTTTATTGGTTAATGAATAAATCTGTTTTGGCCAGTGGCTTAGCAGAATAGGGCAAGGCGGGAGTTCCAAGCAGAGAGAGGAGGAGAGAGTAGACAGAGGTAGTGAAAAGCCATGTAGCCACCCACAGGAGACAGACACACTGAAACTTGCCAGTAAGCCACAGCCACTTGGCAATACACAGATAAGTAGAAATGGGTTAATTTAAGAAATTAGAGTAAGCTAGAAGTAGGTTTAAACTATTAGCCAAACAATATTGCAAATGATACAGTTTCTGAGTGATTATTATCTGGTCTGGGCAGCTGGGAATGAACAAGCCTCCATCGACAAACTACACCATCTTCTCATGGTCCTGCTGTTTGCAGGGTTCTCTTTTCTCCTCAAAATCGAGGTTGTTGTTGTTTTTAATTTTGCTGAAACCCTTCTTTACTCTGAAGGTTTCTGCTCAATTTTAAGTAGTAGACTTCCAACCACACTACAACTCCCAGACAGTTCCTCTGGCTCTTCCCTTCCTTATGTGACCATCTTTGTTGGTCTCATCAACCCCCCTTATACCCCCCTCAAAGTTTTCTTATCCAGTTGAAATAAATCTTGATTTCTTTTCCAAATATGGATGTACACAACATTTGCTTTAGTAGGTTCTTGTCCTGGGAAACAAGCATTGATGAGGACACCACACTGCCTCTTGTTACAATTTTGACTTGAACTGGGTCCACTGTCCTTAGCAATAGCCTTTCTGCTTCCTGACCTTGGTCTGCATCCATCACTAGTGTGCACACTTCCTAGGTGAGGGAGTAGTTTTTCTATGTTTCAGTATCCACATCTTAGCTGAGCAAGTGCTTTACAAAGGGGGCATTGAATAATTATTACTAGTTTTGAGGCCCATGGAGACTCTGGAATGGCTGGCAGGTGGCAGACCCATGTGAAAGTCATGTTCAGTGATGAGCTGGTATGCATTAGAACCTGTGCACCCATGGGTTTAGCTTTGCCTTCCTTGATGAAAATACTGAAGGCCGTATTCTATATATAAGACAAACATAATATAGGCTGAGTTAAAATCAAAACATTTTCTTAGATCTTGAAACTAAACTAGATCTTAGATCTTAGACCTTCTAAACTCAAAAGAAATGGGAATATTTTCACAAAACCCCTCAGATTTGTTCCTCAGAACTGTGCTCACTGTGCCTGCTCACACCAAGTTGGGACACTCTAGTGTGACACTGAAAAAACAAACAAACAAACTGGGGACAAAGGAATTAAACTCCTTGGAGAAGCGGGTGAGGCGTCTATGGCCCAGAAATGGAATGAGAGCAGCCATGGTTCACAAGGTTGCTCCATTCCTTTCACTTCCTGTTTCAAATAATTGACGTTTCAACTGACATCTTACAAAGCTACTATTCATATCTATAAAATGACACAGAGTTAAGAAGGGATTCCAGAAGAGGATAAGGAATTAAGCAGAGTGTGGTGAGAGGTGAACGACACAGGCAACAGGGCCACAGACTTGCCTGTCTGTATTGCTGTTATAGAACGTCAGTAGATGGGGTAATAGAATAGGCAGCCTACATTCCTTACTTTGTTGGAAAAATATGAAATTACATATGGAAGCAAGGAAGAAAAATTGACATTTAAAGGTATCTACTAATGAATTAGCATTTTTCTTTGAGACAAGGTCTCACTATGTAGCTTCGGCACCTAAGCACTGAATTACCCATGTGCCCTCCCAGGCCCAGCTTGCTTTTCACTGTTTTTAAAGCACATCTACATACTTATTTGCCTTGGTCACTTGTAAGGTGACACATGAGGAGATCAAGATTCAGAAGGACTGTCCAGTAGGATGGTGGCCCCTTCTCTCACTTCCCAGGGCCAGTTCCTAGCATGGAGAGTATAGACCCCAACACAAGGGAAGCATTTTCGGTACATCTGTATACATGATTCACAGGACTCTTTTCCTCAGGGTAGACTCTCGGAGATGGGTATGAAGGTCTTCAGAAACTCTCAGAGAAATTTGAGAGTAATACTTCGTGGGTTTTTAGTAATGAAAAAAATCATCCATTTGTGAAAACACCCCCAAGTTTTGAGACAGCCTGGCCTACCACAGAGCCCTCCACACTTTCCTCACTGGGCCCACTATTAGAATCATGGCTTGGTGAGCACAGATCGCCAACTAAAGAGAGTCTCCTGAAGACAAACGGGGCCACACAGTTGTTAGACCGCCTAACTTAGAGAATTTATATCTCAGTCAATTTGCATCTTCCTCTTCCCATTTCCCGGCTCCAGGCATCCTCAGCCGTGCAACTCACCCTTAATGTCGTCTTCACCCCCACAGGGGCTGAGCATGGTGGTCAGGGCGAGGATGCCCAGAACCAGAGCTCTGCTGGGCGTCATCCTCTTCCCGGGGTGGTCTCAGCTGCTGCTGTTCTGAGTCCTCAAGAAATTGTGAGGATCTTCAAGAGATTGTGAGGCCTGACACCAAGCCAAACCTAGGCAGAGCCAATCAGAAAATTCCATCGTGATGACATTACAGTTGCCAGGTGCAGAGTTCGTAGTGAGAGGCCTGGAAGAGGCAAGGGGAACTCCAGGACCACAGCAGCCTCTCTGCTTGGGATGGACTTGAGGGAATGCCCTGGGACGGAGGGAGGTTTCACGCCAGACTTTCTCATGTGCATCCATGTGCGACTGGCAAGAGAGGAAGGAATTTCTGAAAGGCCTCATGTGGGTGAGCTCTTCGATAGTAATGATGTTATTCAGAATTTTCTGGACTGTATGGTCCAGGAAGTCTCCCCTGGATTTATTCCTTTCCAGGACTTTCCCAACCCCCACACCCAGCCATTTCTCAGGCTTGCATACATGAATTGGCTGTTTTTTCTTTTCTTTATTTCTTTTCACAGTGTATACACAACACTTCAGATTATGAGCTGACTACTGATCCAAGGGGTCCCCACAAACGGTGGCCAGTCAAAGCTTTTGCTCTTTCTACTTGTGTAAACCTGGGTCGGGAGGATCTTTGCTCAGAAACCCTTATGTTTCTAGTCTTAAGGCAAAGGCTTCGGACCCATAGCCACCATCAACAACGCAAGATGTTTATCCAGATTTCCCCCATCTTTTGAGTAATCTTCGTGTTTTGTGTGTTGATGCTCCGACCACATCTAAAGGAAGTTTAGGGACTCTGATCACACAAAAGAAAGCTCTGTCTAGCTCGATTACTCTTAAAATATTTTTTAATGTAACAATGTTCAGTCAAATGTCGAAAGGCGTTCTTGTAACTTACAAAGTATTGTTGTTCCCCAAACTTCTGGGTTTTCCAAATTTGTTATCCTTTGATGTGAGTATTTCAGATACATGTGAGGGCTGAGGATTAAAGTCAAGGTGACCTCGGGGATTCTACTCTTTATAGAGAACTGAGTTTTCTGCATTCTATGGAGGTCACAAACTCGTGATCATTTAGCATCACTTAGGATCATTCTGTCTTTGTTAGACTAGTGTGTTAGCCCTTGGTCTTCACAATGGTGAGACTGTGGAGGGGTGAGACAGGGCTCACCAGCTCCTTCTGGGACACAATGAACTAGGTGCTGCTTCAGCCTCAGCCTCACTGTGGGCTTGCCTCCTTCTGGGCGAATTTATTAAGGTAATCACAGAGTTTTCCTACTTGCCCCCCTTGTTGATAAAATGAGGGGAAATTCTGTTTAGATAATTTAGGGACCAAATTTAGTGCCTGGGTTACAGTCCCCTGTTGTTCAATCAAATACCCAACCAGGTATTATGAAGGTATTCTGCATGGTGATTAATTCTGTAATCAGTTGATGTTAAGGGAGACAACGCTGAACAATCGGGATGAGCGACCACAGCTGGGAAGTCTTAAGAGCCAGCTGAGGCTCATTTGAAGAAGGGGAGTCACTGTCACCTCTGCCAGCACAGTTCCCATCTGCCCTCCTGAAGACCACCTGCCCAGTGGCCCTCAGACATGCTGGTTCACCACCACATCTGTGTAAGTAAATTCCTTGCAACAGCTTTCCTAGTGTATATCTCCACTGGCTTACTGCCTTTGATATCCAGAGGCCCCGTGTTTCCCCCTGGTGAGCTTTCTCTTTGATTTCTCTGCTGATCTTTGCCTGGAGGTGTTAACAGACCTTATTAGATGGTGGATGACTTCTGCAGAGACCAGAGCAAATGCTGTTCTTCAACAGGACACAGACAGCATACTGAGATGATTCCACCAAATCAAGATTGGGGAAGCAACAAGTTTCTTGGAATTACTGATAGTATCATGGGAGAGGAGTTGCTTACAAGCACACGGTGACCCAGAGGTAGACACACAGACACACACAGACAGAAACACAGACACACACACATACACAGCCCACCGCAGCACAAAAGTTGCATCTATGAAGTCAGTCCCCTGCACAACTTGTAGTCAGCTCCATAGGAAAGTGTCCTGTGGAGAAAAGGGGGGACAAGTAAGCTGTGGTAGTCAGATCTCCTGCAGTTGGAGTCCTAGGTGATTGTGAGCTGCCATGTGGCTGCTGGGATCTGACATCCTCTTCTGACCTCCGAGGGCAAGGCACACACATGTGCACATGTAGAAAAGCTGGCACATACGCATACAAATAAATAAATTAAAGAAATAAATTTTAAAAATAAAAGCAAAGATGAACACATACAAAACCAAAAAAATGTTGGGCACAAGAAGACAAGCTATGGGGCCATGGAGCTGGCCTAGGGGTTAAGAGCGGCACTGACTGCTGCTGCAGAGGACCTGGGTCTTCCCAGCACCCACATGGGGCCACAAGTGGATGGAACTCCAGCTCCAGGGCACCCCCTGGCCTCCTTGGCACCGCTATGTGTGTGATGCACATAAAGTCATGTAGGCACAGACACATATACATAAATAAAAACAATTAAAATCTTTTAAGGGAATTATATGGTATATGATTCCTTTTATTAGAAACCTTAGAGCAAAGGGATTTCCCCAGCTAGGTTCATGGGCAGCAGAGGAGAGGGCACCAGAACTGGCCCTATCCTATAGCCACACTGATGAATATCTTGCATATCACCATAGAACCTTCATCTGGAGGGGGATGGAGATAGAGACAGAGACCCACATTGGAGGACTGGACTGATCTCTGAAAGCCCAGATGAAGAGCAGAAGGAGGGAGAAGATGAGCAAGGAAGTCAGGACTGTGAGGGGTGCGTCCACCCACGGAGACAGTATTACTGATCTAATGGGAGCTCACCAAGCCCAGCTGGACTGGGTCTGAATGAACATGTAATCAAACCGGACTCTCTGAATGTGGCTGACAATGAGGATGGACTGAGAAACCAATGATAATGACACTGGGTTTGGATTCTACTGCATGTACTGGCTTTTTGGGAGCATAGTCTGTTTGGATGCACATCTTCCTAGACCTGGATGGAGGGGGAGGGCTTGGACTTCCCACAAAACAGGGAACCCTGACTTCTCTTATGTCTGGAGAGCAAGGGGGAAGGGGAGTGGGGGGAG